TTTTCCATAATATAGCATGTCATAATGGAATTCTTGACATTATTCAGTCATTCAAGGTTCATCATAGATCATATCACCAATTTATTGTCTGTGATCTAAAAATAGTTATAATTCTGTCTTACTAAATTATTATCATTTAGTTCCTCTAATATCATGAGAAAAATCCCTTGAGCAGATTCATCTTTCTTTGGGGTAAGTTGACCGATTTAAAAAAAAAAAAAAAAAAAAAAACTATCACAGAGAACAAACTTTCCCAGAACAGACTAACATTTCTATCAGGAAAAGTAATTGTATTACTCTTTTGTTCCAGTTTAACTAACACTAAAAATATGATGTCATGAATCACAAGAGAGACAAGTGATCCTAGGAGAAGGAACTGATCAACACCGACAACTACCGGAGAGAATTCTGGTAAGATTAAGTTCTACACCGCATATTCTCACTCATAGGCGGGTGATGAAAAATGAGAACACATGGACACAGAGAGGGGAGTACTAAACACTGGGGTCTATTGGGGGGAAAGGGGGAGGACCAGTGGGAGGGGGAGGTGGGGAGGGATAGCCTGGGGAGAAATGCCAAATGTGGGTGAAGGGGAGAAAGCAAACAAAACACACTGCCATGTGTGTACCTATGCAACTGTATTGCATGCTCTGCACATGTACCCCAAAACCTAAAATGCAATTAAAAAAAAGATTAAGTTCTAAAATATACCCATTATGTTTGACAATTTAAGGTCATTAGCAAGGGCAGTTTGTGTGATGTTATGACAAAAGTAAATTGCAGCAAGTTAGAAAGCATTCAGGAAGTGTGAGAGAGAGAGAGAGCAAAATAAAGAAGCTACTCCTAAAGTCTGGGAAGAGGGAGGTAGGTAGGGGCAATCACTGGAAGGGATATGGAGTAAAGATATATTTAACATGGGAGACGTCAGAACCTTCTGTAATGAGGGGCAGTATTCATCAGATAGGGATGAATTGATGCCTGAGGAGTCTGGATGAAAAACTATTTGGTGGGCTGCCCCTGGGTCTAGGGCTAAAGAAGTATACTCCTAGAAATTAGTTAGCTAGCTGCAAAGACTACTTGGGTCCTATTCCCATTGCAATGTTAAAAGCATTAGGCCCTCGAGGATGCTTATAGAGTAGGGAGGGCATAGAGAGCAGCACACCAGGACCAGGTATCTCAGGGATCTAATTTACACCAAGAGTGTTGGGCAAGGACAGGAATCTGTTCTGAACAACAAAAGGGTGAACATAGGCAGCTGCGGTAGAAGCAGGAAGGCAGAAGCAGCTACAGAAGACTTTGCCAGCCTGAGAGCTTCTTCATGGCCCTTCCTGAAATAGTAAGTAAAGCAGTCAATGACCTGAATCTTGAGAGGTGAGGGAACAGACATGATCCATGTCCTGTAATTCTGTCCAGATCTCTGAACTTGATTACATGTCCTATCTTTGGTTTCCATAGTCAAATTTCCTTGTTTGATTTTTCACCTCCACTTGCCCCCTTTGCTCAGACTCTTCACCTTTGTAGTCTGTGATCAGAAAACAAGAGAGAAATGAGGCTGAACTAAGATGGTCAGTGAATAAATGATAAACCAAGGGATCTAAAATAATACAATAAATTCTTTGTTCAAGATTCCCAGAATGAAAAGTAACTCCCAACAAAAGATTATTTTATTATATTTAATAAAATACATGTAACTTTAAAAACAAAAGACACCATATTTAATGTAAATTCTAGCTGTTAAATTCAACCAAAAAGTCCGAGATGTTTGCCATGATTACTTTACATTGATTGTGAATATCCAACCATTATATTATGACATTAACCAAAAATTAAGATACATCAATATTTGTAAAGAAGGAATTTATATTATTGCTTGCAAGCAACTTTTTGTTCTACCTAGAAAAAAAATTAATATATAAATGGAAAAACTCTAAGAATTGACAATAGTTTAGCAAAATGGGTGATATACAAGACAAAATAACAAAACAAATACAACTGCAATCCATAAGATAATATAGACAAGATGTTTACCAGCAACAGTTAATTGGTTGATATAATACAAAAAAAATCACAAAACGTTTAAAAGTGGCACAAGTTTAGAAAAGTAGGTAAATGCAAGAGGAAATAAAAACATTCTAGTAACTATTCTAACATATCGCTTTATCATAGATCTATAGATCTATTCTAAAGTATGTTTCCGTGATATGGACCCCATTGAATTTATCTTTTTTAGTGTTATTATATCAGTTAGAATGTATAATACAGGCCAGGCACAGCAGCTCACACCTGTAATCCCAGCACTTTGGGAGTTCGAGGCAGGCAGATCATCTGAGGTTAGGAGTTCGAGACCAGCCTGGCCAATATGGTGAAGTCCTGACTCTACTAAAATATAAAAACATTAGCTAGACATGGTGATGCGTGCCTATAATCCAAGCTACTTGAGAGGCTGAGGTAAGCGAATCACTTGAACCTAGGAGGAAGAGGTTGCAGTGAGACAAGATTCTGCCACACTCCAGCCTGGGTGACAGAGCAAGACTCCATCTCAAAAAATCAACAAAAAAACATATAATGCAGAAACAAGATATTCGCTAAAAACATTCCAAACACTAATAATGGTAATAAAAACAAGTACAAAATTTTAATGATCCTTTTTTTAAGATTTAAATAAAGGCAGACAGGATCTGTATTTTTTAATGAGAAGGCTTGATAATATAAAGATATCAATTTTGTTTCTAAATTAATCTATAGATTTAACACAATTCCAACCAAAATCATGCTATTTTAGAATTCAACAGAGAATTTTAAGGGTAATCTGGAAAATAAATACATAAAAAGGGCTTTATATTAAAGAGAATAATAAGAGGAATATAGTTCTGTTATGTGTTAAATTTATTATAAAACTAAATTTTTTACATTGGTTTAATATTGACAAAAAATAACTAGAAAGAAATAGAAACAACAGAATCCCAGAAATGGAATTTTATATATGTGTATATAAATTTGCTATGTGACAAATGACCTATAATCATTTGGTGAGAGCTGTAGAAGCCATCGTCTACTTATCTGAAATCTATTTATTCACATATTTCTCATCAACAGCAAAAGTAATTCCATGTAAATAAGTTGTATCACAAAAAAACAACTATTAAAAATTAAAAACATAGGAAAGAAAATATTGGTCAAAATTTGAATAAAGAATAATATTCTGTAATTGTTTCTTGTTTGCATTGTGGAATGCTTTGAGAATTTGATAAAAGATAAACAGATCCTCTCCCCAGAAAAGTATGAATATAGACAAAATGTTTCCCTATAAATTTAGGAAGTTTGCAAACTTCCATAAGACCATCAATAAATTCTTGGTTAAATAGTTCTATTTTAAGCATAAAAGATAAACTATTCATAAAGGGAAAATAGTACAAATAATATTTTAAAAGTAAAATATACATATATGCAAGCATATGCATATATATGTGTATATTTACAGCACGTAAAACCAAACAAAAATTGGAGGAAATGTTAAAATGATTGGAAAACATTCAGTAGTCATTGAAAACATGTTTCTAAAAATTTTAAATGTCTATAAGGAGTTTCCCAGTGAATTGGAAAGTTTATATGCATAATGTTAAGAAAAAGCACAGTTTGAAAGATCCTATTTTCATGAAACAGGAACTGTATAAGACTGCAAAGAAAAACGATAAAAATAAATAAATATTTTGAAATGTTAAATCTTTGCTGGGATTTTTACTTATAGCTATTTTTCTGCATTTTTTGTTTTCTAAAAGTGTTATTGTTTTATTTTTCTCATTTTTTATCAATTTCAAGGATAATACATGCTTATTATAATGAATAAGTGGCATAGTCTTTCATTGTTCTCAGAGATAGTGAGGGATGGAACCTTTATCTTACAATTAATATGGTGAAATGAAGCAAAGGCAGTGATTGAGGAAAGGTAATATTGACAGCTATATACTTGACAAGGTAAGGTATTATTCATGGCTAAAGGCAATAAAAAGAATTATCAGATATTCAAGGGCTCCAGGCATTTTCGTCCAAGTATACTTTTTGATACAATTACTTGAAAATATTTTGCAACAATTCAAGAATAAACAAAATAAGAATGAAGAGAACCAAGTGTTAAAGGGCCAAGCATGAGCCATAAAATTACTTAATTTTAAAAAGTCAAAATGCACACAATAAATGCTTGCTATATTTCCAGATTATTTCACAGAAAAATATGGAAGTGGTTGGAAGTTCGTTGGTAATTTTCCCTCTTTACACCCTTTATTAATAACATTAATTATTTGAAAATATAATTTTAAGTACATCTTTAACATTACCTTCATAATCAGAAGAGGAAACCAATGATATTCCTAAAGGGTACTGACCTATGGGATACAATTTGATGGAGGGAGTGCTGGAATTAAATGAAAACGATTAATTTTTTTTCTATAGATTAGTCACTAGTGTTTTCAACATGATTCTTATCTAGACAACTCATTCAACCTATTTCCTCATATGTGAATAACGATACCTATATGGTGAAGATTAAATGAGATGGTTTGTTTCAGAATCCATTGTCAACCCCAGGCACTGTTAAAAAGAAAGGCATGGTCAGGGTTTCCATTATGGCTATTTATTCTCTTCCTAAAGGTTCCCAAGAATGGAGACAACACCTCTGCTCTCTAACTTTACCTGCTGAAGATCAAGTTCTTGATAATGTACATGTCTCATACTTTCTGTGTTCCCCACCTCCCAGAATTTCAGGAAAATAAAGCTAGAAAAATTTCACTTTTATTCTACTAAAATTTTTAATCTTAGCATCTATTTTGGCCCATCTGTTCTTATCTGAACTGTTTCCAAGGGTTTCAAGAGTGTAGAGAATGCCTTATGTTAAAAATGACTGAATTATTGTGGGTGAGCCTTATTTTTCTACAGAAATTTTGACCCTCAGCTGAGCTAACCACAGTCTTATTCTGTTTCCCCTTAATCCACAGGCAGATGCTGAGAACAAAACATCTCATGATATGGATATTGGCCTGAGTATAACCAATAGCTCAGGGTTTCAAGTCTCTGAGTTCATCCTGATGGGGTTCCCAGGTATTCATGAGTGGCAGCACTGGCTCTCCCTGCCCCTGGCTCTGCTCTACCTTTTAGCTCTTGGTGCCAATCTTTTCATCATAATCACCATTCAACATGAGCCCATGCTACATGAACCCATGTACCATTTGCTGGGCATATTGGCAGTAGTGGACATTGGCCTGGCCACTACCATCATGCCCAAGATCCTGGCCATCTTCTGGTTCGATGCCAAGCCCATCAGCCTCCCTGAGTGTTTTGCTCAGATCTATGCCATCCACTCTTTCATGTGCATGGAGTCAGGCATCTTCCTCTGTATGGCAGTGGATAGGTATATGGCCATTTGTTATCCCCTTCAGTACCCTTCCATAGTCACTGAAGCTTTTGTCATCAAAGCCACTCTGTCAATGGTACTCAGGAATGGCCTGTTGACCATCCCAGTGCCAGTATTGGCTGCCCAGCGACACTACTGCTCCAGGAATGAGATTGATCACTGCCTGTGCTCTAACTTGGGGGTCACAAGTCTGGCCTGTGATGACATCACCATCAACAGATTTTACCAGCTGGCCTTGGTCTGGGTTGTGGTTGGGAGTGACATGGGTCTGGTCTTTGCTTCTTATTCTTTGATTATTCGCTCAGTGTTGAGGCTGAACTCTGCTAAAGCAACATCTAAGGCCCTGAATACCTGCAGCTCCCACCTTATCCTCATTCTCTTTTTCTACACAGCTATTATTGTAGTGTCTGTCACTCACCTGGCAGGAAGAAGGGCTCCCTTCATCCCTGTTCTCCTCAATGTGCTGCATATTGTCATGCCCCCAGCCATTAACCCCATGGTATATGCTCTTAGGACCCAGGAGCTAAGAGCGGGCTTCCAGAAGCTGTTTGGTTTGGGTAAGCATGTGTCCAGGAAATGAGATAACTTTAAATAGCAAAATATTATATGCAATACTGAAGAAAGAGCACAGTCTTTGAAGTCCAATGGACCTTGGCTAAAATTTCATCTCTCCCAATTGCTGGAACATCGATTCAACTTAATTCATCTGTATTGTATAGAACATAGTATGTGCAAGCCATTGCTGCAAGCATTTCCCATATATTAACTTTTTTAATCCTGTAACAACTGTATGAAGCAAGCATAATTGTTATTTATACACTTTGCTGATAGGGAAATGGAGTTGGGAAACTTGCCCACAGTCACAGAGGAAGGAAGTTGCAGAGCGAGATTTGAACTGATGCAATCAGGCTTCAGTATCCCGTCTCTTTAATTCTTTCTCTCTATTTAAACTCACTACTAATTTTTAAAATACAAATTAAGATAAACAAGGTAAAATTACGTATTACTTCTTTTTAATAAAAGAAAATTCATTTTAAAGTTGGCCACAATTTTTCTCTCTAGTGGTAAGTAGAGTAGACTTTAAATCTTCTAGAAAGAGTCATTCTAGTGGACCTGCTTATGTAGATGTAATAAAGAATTTGACGGAAATTATTTCGTCACTTCACAAACTCTGTACCAACTGTTGAGTTAACTTGCATTACAGCTCTAAAAGGAATATCCCAACCACTTTTTTAAATCCTTAACACTACTTGAACTTCTCTAATGAATTAAGAAAATCTCAATGAAGTCTCGTAGATCAATGACAGTATAAAGGACACGAAAGGTCTCCAAAGGAAAATTTTCCTTAAAGAAAAATGATATATGTTTAGAGACAGAGAGAAGAGAAAGTTAGTAAAATTGTTTTTTCTTTATTTAAATGCTAAAGTATACAGCTCAGCAAGGGTGGAATATCAGCTGCAGGATGACATGCAGATGAGGTTGGAAGTCTCTCCTGACCCAATCACATGGTGTTATGGCAGACTTTTGAAAGAGAAGCCTAACTTGCGCCAGCAAATCTGAAAGTCCATACATGAGAACCTTAAGTCATTACAACTTAAGCACTTAAATCATCTTCCCTTTGATAGAGTCAGATAACGATAGCAACATCATGATATCTTTGGACAAGGCAGAATTGGACCCTGTGCTTTCACCTGTTTCTAACAGTGACTCCACATATCAAGAAAAGAAGCACTGATGGCTGAAAAGCAGTGGCACACTAATGGATGGATAAAATTTCCTCCTCTTTCCATATATGTGCAAGAGAACTAACCCCTGATATCTTTTTAGATTCAGATTTCGGAAAGGAAAAAAGTAAGTCCCATGAAAGGATTCTTCTAGTCTTGAAGATTTCCACTTCTAGAAATGCCTTGACAACTGAAATGAGTGACTGAGATGGAAGTTTCAATCACTGAGGTTTATTAAGCCAGCTTTAGGGGACATCCAGGAAAAACATGAGCAACAGACGAACCTGTGGCTGTTTTTCCAAGGAGATTTTTCAGGAGGTTTAGTATTTATGCATTTCCTTAAAGAGCATAGAAGGTGTGCAGGAAGCAGGACAGGTAGGTGGTAAGGCAAATGGTTACATTCCTATGAGACTTTAGTTACTGCCTAGTAAATCAACATTTTACATAAGATAAGGTGAATGTTTGAAGAGAAAAGGGGTGTAAAGGAAGGGTCAGTTAAGTAGATGTCTCCGGGTAAGTAGAGGAATTATTGGTCTATTTTTGCTCTGCACCAGGGAAGATAAGCTTGAATAGACATTCTTAATGTGAAATCAAACAGACTTATTAGTTCCAGGACCTACACTTAAGATTGTAGATTTAAAGTTACAATTGGCATGTCCTGATTTGTAAAAGTCCAGCAAATAACTTACTTTTTTTTTTTTTTTTTTTTTTGAGATGGAGTTTCACTCTTGTTGTCCAGATTGGAGTGCAATGGCGTGATTTGGGCTCGCCACCTCTACCTCCCAGGTTTAAGCGATTAAGTGTGATCTGGGCTCACCAACTTCCACCTCCCAGGTTTAAGTGATTAAGCATAATCTGGGCTTGCCACCTCCGCCTCCCAGGTTTAAGCAATTCTCCTGCCTCAGCCTCCAGAGTAGCTGGGAATACAGGTGACTGCCATCATCCCCTGCTAATTTTTGTATTTTTAGTAGAGACGGGGTTTCAACATGTTGGCCAGGCTGGTCTCAAACTCCTGACCTTGTGATCCACCCGCCTTGGCCTCCCAAAGTGATGGGATTATAGGCATGAGCCTATATTGGGCTTTTAAAAACCTCAAAAATAGGAAGCCAAACCAAGGCAGACTTCTGACTTTGCCTGAAGTATTTATAGATTCATTCTATATCCATTCTCAAATATGACATCCTAGTCAAAGCATTGGTGACATAACCAATATTTCCAAATATGTATCCTGCCATAAAGAGAGAAGATTATATCTGAACTTATGCAAATAACTTGCCATAAAAATAAAAAATATTCATAATAGTTTCAAAATTCTGGATAGATCAGGTTGGGGGGAGTAAATATTTTCATTTTTGTTTACAAAAGCAACTTTGCCAAATTGCTAGAAACTTTAGATAGCTTAAAAGAAAAAGGGTTCCTTAAATCTGGAAAACAAAACATCAAAAAATACAGCAAAATTCCAAAATAAAAAATCATTAAAACATTATCTTCATCAGGTCATTCAATTTCATATAATTAATTCTCATTCTGCTTGATTTTGGTTAGTAGTTTTATGATATAAGTTTATTAGAGTTTTGGAATTTCTTGCTCATTCAAAGGTATTATCTGAAAATCAGCAAAATCTGTTACTGTCAGAGTCCTTTCCACGAATCTCCCTAAGGATGAAGCACTTTAGGAATATAACGGCTTACAAGAAAAAAAAAAAAAAAAGAACTTTCAGAAGAGCATGAGAATAAAGTAATTAACTGTGAACAAAATGGCATGGTTAAAGAAATGATGAGAACTTACTATAATAATGACACAATTGGAAAAGAAACTTGGTTATTTTTATGGTGTACAACATTTTTTTAATGATTCAGTTACTTTATTGTTGCCTTGACATACGTCCTCAAGACACCCAGTTTTACGGACGAATTCATCTCTACTGTATTTCCAAAGTTTTTGTAATGAATAGGTTCTACCTTCATCTTCAATTTACTTAAGCTCTATACCAAGAACCATTAAGAAGCAACTTCAGTGAAAATCTTCCACTATTAAGGTCATGTTGCTACTAAAACCAATATGATTTGATGCCAAAACAGTTTTTAACTACTAAATTTACAATTATTCCAAAGAATAATACATTTTAACATTACCAAAATTATGGCAGTTAGCCTTATACCAAGACACATCAGATTGCTAGGAATTTCAAACAGTTTCTGGAACACATATTAGCATATTCATACAAATGTAACTCAAAAAAGGTTAAATATAATTCCTTATTTAATACTACTTCCCATATAATATAACATATCAAATAGTTCAAGGTCAAAAGATATAATCTTTAATTTGATTTTGAAAAGTTAGTAAAAAATGTCAAAAGGTTTAAAACACATGGTTAAAATGTGTTTTAGGATCATCAGAAATTATGAAACAATGAAAAGCAAATATGGAAAAGTTACATAGTTTTTAAAAAGTAGCTCTTTTAATCTTAAGAAGATTTTGTTTTTTAAGCAATCAAAAGACCTAATAAAAGACAACATAAATCAAAAAAATTATCTTGGTAAAACACAGAATTTCTTCTTTATTTTTCCTTATGCAGATCACTTAAAGGGTAAAGAAAACCTTGTAGAGTCTTTTATAAATGTTCCAAGGAAACCGTCAGTTATTTTGTACTTTTTTTTTAAAGAAAAGACTAGATGCTTTGATATTAATGCTCATTTTTTAAAAACTAATAATAAATTCATTCAGTTTTAGCCCACTTGACCACACATGAAATTCTTTTCACAACTCTTCTACATACAATGGGGAAAGGATAGTCTCTTTAATGAATGTGCCTGGAAAAATGAATTTTCACATACAAAAGAATGAAATTGACCCTTATCTTACACAATACACAAAAATCAACTCAAAATGGATAAAAGACATAAATATAAGGCCTGATAAGTTTCTAGAAAAGAACATAAGAAAAAAGTCTTTGACATGGCCTTGGCAACAATTTTTTTGTATATCACACGAAAAGTCCAGGCTACAAAAACAAAAAATAAATAAATGAAACTATATCAAACTAAAAAGCTTTTGCAGAGCAAAGAAACAGAAATCAACAACATGAAAAAGCAACCTACAGACTGGTGAATATGTTCGAAAACTGCATATCTAATAAAGATTAATATTCAAAATTTATAAAGAACTCTTACAACTCAATGGCAGGAAAACAAATAACCTAATCAGAAAATGGCAAAGAAGCTGAATAGACATTCCTCAAAATAAGACATAAAAATAGCCAACAGGTACATTAAGAGGTACTCAATATCACTAATCATCAGAAAAATGCAAATTTAAACCACTATGAGATATCACCTCTCACCTTTTAGATGGCAATTTTTTAAAAAGTAAGCAATAATGAAATTGGCAAAGATGTGGAGAAGACAATACCCTATTCCATTGCTGAAAGAAATGTAGATTAGTACAGTCATTATGGAAAACAGTAGAGAGGTTTCCAATCAAATTGGAACTACCATATGACCTAGCAACTCCTATTATGGGTATATACCAAAAAGAGATAATTGTGGTTAATTTTAGTCAATTTCAGGACATAGCACAATAGCAGCTCTCGATCCCCCAGCATCAGTCTTGCGGCAGACAGCTGTGCGCACGTTCCAGGAGCAGCCTGCATGCAGCTTGCAAGGGTCTGAGTGTACAAAAATACACCCTGTTCCCTAAATATTATTAATCTAGGCTCTTATCACTGATTGCTGCTTCTAATCACAATGCATAAACAGGAGCCATTGCTGTTGCACCTTCACTCATTTGTTCAAACTTCTCCCCCTCATCCAGTTAAAGTGAATTCCAGAGAATTTAAAGGGCTGGTACACTTTCCCTGACCACCCCCTTTGTTTTATTTCCCCTTTTGCCACCTAAAAATTAAATACTAGGACATTGAAAAGTACCTGCACATATACTGAACTTTGGAAAGTGATTGTGCATGTCAGGAAAAGGCACAGACTCAGAAAAGTCTTGAGAAGACCCTAAGTTTTCACCTCAGGCTAATCCTGAAGACAGCCTACAATCATAACATATAAATAAACAACAACAACAAATAACAAAAAACCCTAGAAAAGGGGAAGAATGTGATTTTCAAAGTTACCACATAATTAGATTCAAATTTCCAACTTTCAATTAAAAAAATTACAAAGTATACAAAAAAAAAAAAAACAGGAAAGTGTGGCCTATTCAAAGGAAATAATTAATCAGCAGAAACTGTTGCTGAAAAAGAACTGATGGCAAAACTACCAAAGACTTTATTTAAAATAACTATCTTAACAATGCTCAAAGAACTAAAGGAAGATGTAAAGAAAGTTAAGAAAACAATGTATAAACAAAATGTAAATATCAATAAAGAGATAGAAAACCTAAAATGAAAGCAAAAAACATTCTGGGCGGAAAAGGACAACAATTGAAATATTTACTAGAGAGATTCAAAGGCAGATTTGAGCAGAAAGAAAAATTAGCAAATTGGAAGATAGGACAAT